TGGAATTCTTTAACTGCTGCTGACACTTGTAAGCTCGAACGCATACAGAGCAAGTTCTTAACCTCGTGTTACACTCGTTTCTTTCCTCATGTCCGTTATCACTACGCCAATGCCTTAGAAAAACTACATTTTCACACTCTTGGCACTAGGAGGAGTCACCTAGACGCCCTCTTTCTTATTAACGTGTATGGCGGATATAAATTCTGTCCCTCCTTACTCGAGACTGTTGGTGTGAGTGTCCCATTTCGCAATTTTAGAGATTTATCTCTTTTTACTGTTGGCCCCGCATGCAAAAGTTGTCCATCTACTAGATTGGCATCAACTGCGAATAATCTTTGCAATGATTTTGACATCTTTAGTAACCATTTGCTTACTCTTAGGCATATCCTGAAGCAGATGGCATAGCTTCATTTATAAATAATCATGTTATTTTTTGATTTGTTTTAATTATTAATCTGTCTATTTCCTAGGAACTTTATTATTATTATCCCATCTCTTCACCACTTTATGGGGTATGTACTTCTATGTACCCGAGACAGACCTTGTCCCTAAGGTACATAGGGCAGCAGCTATTTCCGGGATACATTTTGTTTTTAATATGTATTACATGTATTATATTATTTTATTTTACGACAGCGTCTTTCGAATGATGTATGACGTTCCCAAAATTGTAGTTTTCTGAAGTTCCCTGACGTCGTGTTCGCCCGGGATGTTGGCCAAATATTTCCTGAGCGACCTGGAGACAGTTCCTGTTGCCCCTATAACTACTGGGATTACTTTTGCTTGAACCTTCCACATTCTCTGTATTTCTATGAGAAGGTCCTTGTATTATTATTATTATTATTATTATTATTGTATGATTATTGTATTTACTTTGTTTTGTTGTGCTGCATATGTAATTTCCAGTTTGGAAACTGTGCATTTCTTCTTGGTATTCCTACTCTTTCTTACAGCTGTTTTTGTAGTTATTACATTTTAATTTAATAACCCAAAATAAATGTAATCTTACAAGCAGTTCTATGCAACATTTTCTATAGCTTTTAAGGTGTAGTTTTAACACATCATTTTCTAAATATTATAGACTACTGGGGAGAGGGAAAAAGTGTTCACTCTGAATTATGACAGTATGTTAGACTTAGCAGCTGCTTACTTTATGTATTGAATACGAAGAAAGGGTAAAACTGCTACTGGTAATGGCAAGAATTCTTCAAATATGTCCATATGTTAATTGCATTACTCTGATTTCACAGGTGATTTTGAAATAGTGAAGCTGTGTGACTTTGGTATTTCGGTGCCATTGAATGCAGACGACGTATTAGATACTGATGCAGAAGTAGAATATATTGGTACCTCTAACTGGGCAGCCCCTGAAGCAGTATGTAGTGATGGTCCAAATCCTATTACAAACAAAGCTGATATATTTTCATTTGGTCTGGTACTACGGGAAATGATAACACTCAGAACACCACATTGTGATGAGTCATCAGTGGAAGAAGTTGATACATCTGAGGTGGCAGAGGAAGGTGCATTTGATGATACATCTTTCATATCTTCACCAGACACATCTGTGTCTGCCATGATTGGTCTGAAATGTGGTAAGTGTGCAATGAGGTAATTTGATGTGATATGTAGATGTGTGAATTAAAGAGAGGGATGTGGTCACAAAGAGGGTGAGAAGGGCTGATGAGACTGAGACGGGGTGGGAAAGAAATATATGAGAAAGGAGGGAAGGAGATGAAGGTTCAAAAGGGATTAAGGAAAGAGGAAGGTAGAGAGACAGGAGTATGGAAGAAGATATAGTTATGATATGAATAATGGAAAAGAAGAAAGGGGGTTAAGATATGAAAGAAGTCATTGTGTATTGGCTGTGTCATCATTCCTGTTAAATTCTGAAAACAAAACCTCCAAAAATGAGATGTCTTTTGTGAAATCAGAATGCTGTATACTTTATAAGGCTCATTGGTGATACACTGAAAGATTTGCAAGATTAGTTTCCTATTACACATTCTCTTAAGTGCACTTCAGAGAAAACATTTTTATTGACATAGAATCTTGTTGTATTGGATATCACAGGGACTAGACCACCATTACCAGACAGTCCACTGGGTGAAGAACATAAACCAGTGATAATGCTCTTCAATTCATGCACTGAGGAAGATTTCAAGAAATGACCAAGTGCTAAAGAAATTGTGGAGCAGTTGGAAACCTTGTATTTACATTTTTATAACTTTGTGTGTGTGTGTGTTTTAACTTCTCACATACTTACTATTTGAAAAGACATGGCTGCAATGTAGTGTATATCCACTCTATCTGTTTTTAAAGTAAGATACCAAATTGACGAAATGTTTTATTTTAAATCACCAGAATATTGTCATATGTCACCATCAGTGGACTAGTGGTTAGCATACTTGCCACTGGACCCAAGGTTCGCAGGTTCAAACCTGGCCGAGGTCGATGGATTTTTAAGGGTGATAAAAATCTGTAGCACAACTTCCTTCAGAGGGGAAGTAAAGCTAGTGGTCCCATGTTGTAGATTTACGGCATGTAAAAGAACCTTAAGAACATGAATGAGATGTTTCGTAAGCAAGATTCAGCGGCCATTTCTCACCCAAATCTCTCCTGATTTACTACTAGATGGCTCTGACAGTCAAATAAGGACTGAGTAGAAATTGTGCAGAGGTAGTGGGCTGGTCACTCACTACTCACAAATGCACGTTTGAAAGACTAGGAAAACCCCCAAATTGGAGGTGGAAAAGACCCACAACTGGGTTGTAGAGCCATGGAAGAAGAATAATATTGCCATATATATATATTTAATTATATGTTGGGAAATAAGTAGGAAAGTGACATTAAGAACATAATTTTTGGATCCTGTGTTCATTGAGTCATTAAAATTGTGATCTAAAAGAATTTTGGGCTCTAATTTCAGTAAGGATTCCTTTATCATCACGATATGTACATATGTATATGGCTAGGAAGTGGTTTATGGAAGTCCTGTGATAGAAGAGATGAGCAATGAAGGGAAATATCTTTTCTTTCCAGTGTATGGATATTATATATTTTCATGTTAAATCGTTTGTTTTATATTCTGATTTCAAATAATCAGCTTTATTGGTATCTTCTTGATTTTAACAAGCATAGCAGCTCCTGTCAGTTGGCTATTTCTTTGGCAGATACAAATTTTCAGCTGCTCTTAGCTCATGATCTTGTTGTAGTCTGAAAATTTCTGTTATGCTGGCTACCTGCAATGAAACAAAGTTTGAAACCTAAGACCTTAAATATTTTTTTCTGTATGAAATTTGATGCTCTTATAGTGACAAAAAGATGTTGATTGTGGTCTTCTGGGTTGTGATACCATTGAAATCCAAGTGCCCCTGCTTTTCAGATTTGTATCTTTTATGTTGTGGCAAAGTGGCCAAGAATGAAGCTGGATGTTGGCGAGGATTTTTGTTGTGTCAAAGTTCATAGTATTCACTTCCTCTGCACATGCGAAACCATATCACTCCCCTTCCATTCAACTTTCAGTTCCAGATTAAGTTTCCTTTACCCTCCCACAGACATTTGTTCACCCTGAAGACAGCAAATGCAGTGTCTGCCAAAACATTTTATCACCTCTGACATATGACGTAGCTATTTGCCAGAAGCTGAAGTTGTACATAAAATTGTGGCCTTTAATGCCTAAGGACAAGAATAACATTAGCATATTGACTGACAGCTAAGAATAATCAGTATTATGGTGTATGATCTGATGCTTTCGTGGCGACTAAGTATAATGAATTCTTCTCAGGCTATCAGCCGACTCAGGTTAGTAATGGATAAAACACCAACATTTCAAGAACCATCTTCGTCCTTGTTCTATTTTTTTAATTTTGATGCGTTCACTATTTTTAGTCCAGCTTTCTGACTGGATAACATGTTCATCACCAGGTACCAGGTCTGTCTCCTTTGAAGTTCCTGGAATTCAATTGAATTTAAATTGCTTCCTTCACGAGACAGTCCATATAACCGGAGTACCCTGAGGACTAGGATTAAGATGATTCTCAAAATGTTGGTGTTTTCTCTGTTAAACCACCTGTAACGGCTGGTAGCCCAAGAAGAATTCATTAGAGTATTATGGTGCTCTCTACCCTTATGGAACTGATGTTTATCTCTGAAAGGGTTAATAAAGTAGAAATTAAAAAGAGAGTCACAAAATATTCTGTTCATACATTGATTAAAAAACAGTTTCTATAATGACTGAAGACAGTGTTTCTCTAAAATGTTGGTATCTATCTACGGGCCTACACAGTGTTAACCCAATTGAACATCTTCACCGCTGTGAGAATGTATCATAATAATGTAATGCAATGTAATGATAACTTAATGACCTAAGTGGAGCCCCTGAAGGTGTCAGATAGAAATTTACAAAATGTGTAGGGTATTATCATTTTAATTTGAATTAAACAGAATTTTGTGAAATTGTATGTAATATTTGTTATCTATTTAAATAAAGTTAGTTTTACTTGCCTTGCTTTCAATATTCACCAGAGACTGTTCTGACATGATCTGATGACAGGTATTCTGCATAGCACTGACAGATGCTCGGAGGTTATGGTTTGCCCAGATTACAGTTGAGATGCCAAGTTCTTTAAAGTGTTCTGTTGGAGTTTTGAAGTACTTAGTTGGAACAATCATAACTGGACACTAAAAAAACATTGTTTTGAATAAGAGAAATGTAATGCAGCTGTCAGGAGAATGGGAGTATCATGCATTATAGGCA